AACTATTATTTTCCCAGAGCTGAGCAAAGCCAGCCACCACAGAGTCTCACTTGAGGTGGAGTGAAAGCCTTCAAGGTGCAAAAATGATAAGCTCAATTCACCCTCAGGGTAATTTCAATATATTTGGGAAGCTAGTCTACCACCTGCCTTGACAGCAACAACTACAGGGGAAGGAGTTTGAACCCTTCTGGGCTCATATGGATGTTGAGGCAAACACAGGTTGAAGTTCTTCTCAGAGTAAATCATTTATATTCTATATAATGCTGGTGCTTTTTTCTTTTTTTCTTTTTTTCTTTTTTTCTCTGGGTGCCATCTATGTGTGAAGATAAACAGAGCTGGCAGGAAATATCCTTTCAAAACAGAGAAAGAAAAGCCTTAAGGAACTTGATAGATAAAATTGTACTTATATTTCCCCACTCTGCTGAGAGATTTATCCTGCAATAAAAGTTATGCCAGAAGCTCAGACAGACAAGTCCAGACTAATGCCAAACTCCTGCCAGAGCCACTAAATGATCTGCATGGTCAGAATCTACTTTCCAATATGTTTGAAATGACTGGCCCAACAGACGATTTAGTTTTAAGATTTGCTTTTAACGAGCTGTAGCAATGAGCTGGTGGGTGTTTGCCCTGTGCATACAGTCAATTTCTATTGTGTTTTGGTGTGCACTTTCACCCTCTTAAGCAGGTCATCTTCCAATAGGAAAAAAAAAGGAAAATAAAAATTCCTGTCTGTCCAGATGGTCCAAAAAAGCAACTCACAGGTGGTTGGAGTCAAAAAGGTTAAAGCTGTTGATTTTGTTAATCCATTCACCCTCAAACAGAAATTCCTCTCCTTCAAACTCTTCTATTTCAGTCTTTTGATGCAGGTAATTTGACCTTACTTGGGGGACAAAAAGTGTCTGTTGAAAGATAAGGATATTTTCAGAGTCATAGGCACCTGAACAACTGATTTCAACTTCTATGGGGTCTTCTCTGATGCCAGCTTTAATTTTTATTCATCACGGTGTTGACTTGGTTAATTGTGCATTGAAAACAGCACCATTTGCACCATTAACATTGGGCTGATCTGTTCTATCAACAGAGGAACACAGCCCAAATTGATGCAAAACCCCTTGCAGCTGAAACTTGTCATTTGAGATCTGGTTCCAAAAGACATTACTCAGAGTTTCGAAAAAAAAAAAGGTGTGAAAAAGAAAATAATGTTTTTCCCCTTTACAAAAACACAAAGCGACCCAAAACAACAATAAGTAGAAAAAAGGTAGAAAGTGGAATTTTGCTGCTGTTCAGATTATTCAACAAATGTTTGATCCAGCATTCACTGAAGTCAGCAGGATTTTTTCCATTCCCTCCCTTGTCCAATTGCAGCATCATTAGCCACATTACTTCTAACTGTTGGGCATCTACATCTAATGTTGCCTTCTCAATTGCAGCAAATAAAAATAGAAAATTAGAGAACTCAGCTTTCCATATCAGCACCTGAGGAAGGGGACTGAGCAAAATTTCCACCCAATTACCTTCATGGCCAGATGCACAAGGTTCTGATCACCTTTCCTTCAGTTTGGGAAGCATTATTTGCCGTGCAGCATTTTCCAGGTGATGCTGTAAATGATAGACCCTCATAGGCAAGGTACACGATGTATGGGTGTTGCTCCCGAAGCTGCAATCTTTGCACTTCCCATCTTTTTTGCCACTTCACATTTGCAACATTAACAATGCATTAGCATAGGGATGGAGTGTTTAATATGGGTGTGCAGTTGTTTACAAATCAATTTGCAAAGCACTTTGGGATCCTTCTGGATGGAAGGTACTATATAAGCGTCAGTCATTATTATTATCATTATCACTGTCATCATTATAAGTTCACAAGGAGACAAACAACCACGTTGGAATAACACTGGGGGTAGGTTTTTCAAAGCCACAGTGGAGATTTGGGCTGCATGTGACTGCCATGAGTGTAGAGTTACTGGGAATCCCAATGGATTTCCCAGCAAAGGGGAACCTCGGTCACGTGAAAGGAAGGGTATTTTCAGAACTACAGCTCCGGTCCTTAACACAGCATATCTAAGTAATGCAAGAGAATTTCAGCTTCTTTTCCTGCAATGAGAGATGACTCATACCAGGACATATAGTGGGGAATGTTGGGGGATTTGATAGGAGAAAGATTTGGGGGAGCCCTGTAGGGGGGCAGCTGTATTGGGATTTGCAGCAGCTTCTGACCCTGTAGCATGATGCTCATATATCCAGGACAGTGTTAGAGGAGCTCACCTTCTCCAAAATTCTGTGCAAATTTGTCCTGGAGCAAAACCTTTCATCTGTATAGGTGAGAAAAAGAAATCAAGAAGGAGTGTCTCTGGCATTTTGGGAGTTGAGAGACAGCTGTTTTCTGGACTTTCAGAAAGAGGTTATTTTCATAACCACCAAATATAACTAACCTCTGTTAGCATCTCCTGTTCTCACCACTGCTCTGCCAGGGGTTACTGTCCTTCTCATCTCTACAAACAAAAATTCTTGTTTGGATGAACTTTAAATTAAGTCCATTTCTGGGGACATTCCCACTTAAGATCAGGGGATTTAACAGCGTAGATTTTCAGAGGTTTAATTTATTTTATTTTTTAAATTTTTTTTCTTGTTTTGGTACTTAATATTTTGCCAATGAATAGTTTCTCAAGCACTTAAATTTAGAAATTTCTGAGGACTCTACAATAAAGGGATATCTGCTGTGGAACCATGCCTCAAGTTATATATAGAAATATAGCCCTGGATTGTGAATGCATCTATAGATGGCACAGGTTCTGCTTTTAATATTGCAATTTCATATCACTGTCTTCATTTTTTCTTGGGGAGGCTAAAAGCCAAGTGTTTGGCTCAAATCAGACATGACATTTTAAAACATAATTATAAAGTAATTGACTGAAACCAGAAGTTACTGTTAGCAGGTTGCATGGCTGAAGTGGAAATGGCCATAAAGCATATCTCATGACATGACAGTCCCTAGTGGTACTAGAACTGGGCCTGGTATATCAGAACGTGGTTTTGACAACACCAACAGAAACAGCTGCTGTCCTAATCATATGTGTTAGTATTCAGGCACCTACTTCCAAACAAAATTAACCCTCGATCTGGATTTTAAAACACCTAATTTTAGTCCAGTTTCTTAAGAAACAGAATTTATGCAATCAGCCTCTTTGTGTTCTTGTCCATCTGTTCCTCCTCCTCAGGAACTGTGCAGCCACTGAAATTTGACTGATCTGTGGCGTATTTGGGGTCCCCAGGTCTTGGATTTGGAAGTGGAGCTAAAGCAGCATGAAGTGAGCTGAAATGGAGGTGGAGTGAAGCAGACTGAAACTTGGCCCTTCTGAGTGGCTTGGCTTTCTTCTTAAAGGACAGACAGATCATGTTGTATTCCATGTGATAATGAAAAAGTAGACACTACAAATATCCTGCTGCTTTGCTGGGCAGGAGCATCCCAGACTGTACAGCCTACACTGAAAAATGACAGTTTAGGGTAAATGGGACCTGTGGCTGAGCCACATGGAAGTAAATCAAGGCTAAATCGAGGGCAAACACTCACTTCCTCAGTTTACCAGGAAATTCCTGTCCCTTTCACTAAATCAGGAGACATTAAGACCCATATGGATACCATACAGTCAAAAGACAGGGAAAGGACAAAGCAACCTCTATTCATGTTATTTTTTGTGATAATCCACCTGTCTACACTATTATTGTCTTGTAATTAGGGTTAAAAACACTTGAGACAGCAATTCTCTTTTCTTTGGGTTTTTTTTTTTGTTTTTTTTTATGGTTGTGATTATAAGTGGGTTTTGGTTCATGTCTGCAGCTTTATGTGTTCTTTTCATTAAAATAATTTAGGTATTTTTTTTAAAACTAGCCTCAATTAACCCTCTGTCACTTAGTTTTCCAATTGGTAAGATAGAGCTAATAAATATGTCCCATTTACAGAAATGTTATTCAAAATTAACATTTTTACAGCTGCTTTGCAGAGAAAAAGTCTTTGCAAGTGCAAAGTAATTATTGAAGATGAATTTACAGATATATGATGACAGACAACTGTTCATGTATATACAGCTGCAAATCTTAAACGCAACTATTTAGCACTGGCATACTTCTCTAGTAAGCTTCATGGATTAAGGGACCAAAAGGGATTTGGATTTGGAATGGATCAAGACCCTCCAAGGTTTCTATTGGCCATGTACTTCCAAAATAATCCCACTATCATCACAGTGTTTTCATGTTCAGCTTGAAAAACAGCCTTTGATTTCTCATCTCTTCAAAGGTTCCTTGACTCCTAAGTTGTTGATTACAATTCAGATGTTAATTGAAGAACTGGAGGATGAGTGTGGGGTTTTTGTTTTCTGGTTGTTTTTTTTTGGGGGGCGGGGGTTTGGTTTGTTTTATTTTTGCAGTGGAATATTTTGCTGGAGAAATGAGGTGGCAAAGGATGTTTTTGACAAATAGATGCCAATTTAATGCTGCTACGTACACTATTCCTACTTTCCCCTGCAGGGGCTTCCTTTTACAGTCCCACAATGTGCTACTTTCCAGAGGCTATGCCTCTGATTATCTCCAAGTTGACAGCATTTCAAACAGTCAGCAACCCTGTTTTAAACAAAGCTGTGGTGATTGGTTGAAAAACACAGCCTGAAGGCCTCCTGATAGAGGAAGCCACTTACACATATGACATCTTCCCCATACCCTTACTTCTTCAGATCCACTCAATACCAGTTTCTACCATGATAGTGCCCTCGGGAAATCAAACAATTAATAATGGCTGAGAAAAATGCAAAGTTAATTGATGCTTGTTCTATTCTTCAATGAAAATTGTGGTTGCCCATGATAGATCTGCAATAGTATTTCTCTTCCTGTGTCTTCCCTTTTGACACTTCTAAGTCTTTGGGTCAGAGAAAGTGATTCTCATATGTATTTGTTAAGTTTCTGGTCTAAATTAACACTTCTATTGGAAAAACAAGAATTTTCTCCCTAACGTATAATTATTTTTTTCTTTCCTTCATATCTTGAACATGCCTTGTAGAAAATTAATGTTGATTTAAAGATTTTAAGATGCAGAGATTTGACTCAATCAAAATAAACCACGCTGTAATTTTAGACTAAGTTTGTCTAATGTGATACTCTGTGATGTCTTCACTTTCTAATCTAAAATGCTCTCTGCCATCAGGCATTTTTTTCTTCTGATAGGTAATAATAAAGGGGAACAAGTTTTCCTAAGTTTCCTTTGTAGAAGCTACATACACAGCATCCTTAAATCCCTTTCTGAAATAAAGTTTCAAGGCCTCATTTTCTCTTTTTTTTTTAACTCTTCCAGTGCCTTCACATTTAATCAGTATTCAGTTTGTAAATGGGCAATGGAAAAATGCGTTGTTTTGATTCAACATCACCACTAAAACCCCATGGATAAGCCACATTTGTTGCCTTTTCCTCATTAAATCTTTACTCCTGGAGCTCACAATCCTCTTGGTCCAGGAAATCACAGAGGGAATTTGGTACATGCTGGCAGTACAACCTGAATTCTTCATGTCTGCTGCTGCAGTTGTGTTCATGCACTCTTGCTTTCTTCCTGCTATAGTTGTGAGGCTGCACTTGGGGAAACGAGGGAAGGTGAATGCAGGACCTTCAGGAAGACAGGAGCATTTGAAGGAGTGGAACGTGGAGACAGGATGTTCCAAGCGTAACAGGAACATAAAAAGGAATGAAACATCATTTTGGACAAGCAGAAAAGGGGAGAGGAGACAAAAATGTTGAGTCGTTGGCAAGCACTAAATCAAAGAGGGGGGCCTTGAAGTCAAGGGCAATGCCTTCCATTATATCAATACAATTAATGGCATCCTTATGTTCTGTTATTTGCATTAACAGCAAAGTTAATGCCGGCAAAGATCAATGCTGAGATTAGTGATGTCCAAATCAACATGCTTTTAAGCAAATTATTTCCACTGTCTGAGTCCCTCTCCTAGTTAGTAGCATGAATCTTTGGTGGTGTCTGCAGCTCCATCAGCAGATGCCTCTTAAGGGCTGCTGTCTCTTAAATATAGTCCTGCTAACATTAGTACCACTTGCACAGTAAGCAGGAATATCAGGTCAATAGATCCACTCAGTGTGGATGTCCTGTACATCAGCAACAATGTCCAGGAGCAAAATGTTCCTTTTGCATTAGTGATTAATATTACTATTATTATTGAGAATATTTTAATTTCCTTTTCTTTTTGATCCTCTCTCACACAATCTGATTATTGTGCTTATTCCTTCTAAAAAAAAAATAAAAAAAAAAAATGAGCCTGTTGTCTTGGAACATTAAACACAAGCAAATAAATCACACCAAATCCCATGGAATACCTCTACCCACGTTGCAAAGGCAATCAGACAGCAGTGGTCAGTAGCAGCTCCATAATACAATGACAATGTGCTTCCTGCCAACAGGAGGCCTGAAAGCTTAAGACTTTCAAAAGCAGATTCAAAAAGATGCCTTTGGCTCAGAGCTGGTGGGAATAAAGCTAAATCTGTGTATTTCAAAGTACCCCAAAAACCTCTTAAGGAAAATATCCTTGACAGCAGTGACCCAAAATATTCTGCACTATTACTCACTCTCACACACTCGGCTGAGTGTTGATCCCTATCCAGCTATTCCAATATAGTCCTCTCTGCCTTTGGGCCTTCTCGTAGAAGTTCTCCAGCTCTGGTTCTGCCCCTGCCTCTAGACTTGACAGACACCTCATGCCTCTTGGCGCTCTGAGCGCGCGATCGCCAGCAACGGTGCTCTCTGCAGCTCCGCCGAGACACACCTGCACTACTCCATGTAGCTGCTGGCAACTCCAGGCTGCAAACATGTTGTAAAGAACTGATCAAAGTAATGTAGACAACGTTTTTCTACTTAAAAATCATGGGGCTTTTTTTTTTAAAAAAAAAAAAAGTGAGGGTTTTTTTTTTTTTTTTTCCTTGAGAAATCATCAGGGAAGTATCTTAGATTCAGGTTTGAATTTCTTTTGAAAATTAGTGACAGTGAGAGAGAGAGAACTCTGGATTAGCAGGCTTTCAAGAAGTTATCTGAAAACATTCCTTTTTTGCTGATCAGTCATTTATTCTCTAGCATTTCCTTCTCTATATTTTTTTAATAATTACAATAAATCTGTGGACTTTCTGAGTTGAATTTTCAGTTTGCTAACAAGAAGTTAGAAAATTGGAGAGGATTCTTTAAGAAACATCCTTTTAAATACCATTCTGTTTGAAGACATGAATTCAAATTAATCTTAAGTGCAGACCATTGGCAAGATAGTTTTGCTGGTAATAATAGAATAAGGTTTCAGTGATATAGCAAGATATGAAAAATCTAGTCAGAGCCCTGAGACTGTGTATGAATGGAGAAGCAGAGGTAGCAGTAGCAGTGGTATCAGTATGCTTTCTGAAGGCTGGATAGAGGATGGATGGATGGATGGATGGATGGATGGATGGATGGATGGATGATGTGCAATATTTTTGGTTATCAGTTAGTATTGGATAAGCATTTCATATTGGATAAGCATTCTTCACAAAGAAATATCAGCTATAATTAAATACTGTGGTTCTGGCACCTAGAAGAACTGTATAACCTACTTGGATTCTAATTTGTTTTAATTTCTAGAGATCCTGTCACCTCCCTCACAAAACAGCAATGTTTTCCACCCTACACATGGTATTTTGTGACACTAAGACATAGTGTCAGATAAGCAAAGTGCTTTCTTGCAACACTTTTTCTTCTAGATATCCCCCAGTCCTTGCTAGGCTATTAAGGAAAGCCAGAGGAAGGTGAAGGGAACGTCTTTGGGCCCTGGTTTAATTCAGAGCACCTGCTGTCTTCCTGGGTGCCAGAACTGTATAGCCTTGTTGGGAGCCAGGATGTAATAGCTGTGCCTGATAAATAGCAGCACTAAACGTGCTACAGCAAAGGTTTTCTGTACTATAATAATTGTAGGCACTGACTTGGTGCAATATATCTTTGCCAGCGTGTAGTGACAGAATAAATAGCTGTTTTTAACTATAGGATCAGGAAAAGCTAATGCAGTGATTGAGGGAAAGTATCCAGCTAAATGTAGTCTGTCTTTGCTATGCTGTCCTTCCAGCCCAGTCCTACCTGTGCTGAGGGGGTGGCAGATGGACTCCACCCTCTCCAGCATCCTCTGCTCCTCCTGGGCCACAGCCAGGCTTCATTGTCAGAGCTGTATCTGCCCCCGTGATGGCTCCTGGGCAAAGAGGAGGAGGAGGCAGAGAGGAGGCTGAGAAACCAAACGTTCCAGGAAGCTGTTGGAGGGGAAACAAATCAAGGTCGTGAGTTCAGAGTCTTTGCAATCTGGTCAGACTTTGTTGGCCAGGAGAAAATTAATGTGAGTCCAGCCCAGCTCCTGGCAGGATTTCCCTCACACAGAAGGGTGCCAGAATGGTTGGTCACCATGTTGACAGTCCTGCAGGGACCAGGATTGAGAGGGGTCTGGTATCAAAGCTAATGTCAACTATTTTTTTCCTGCCCATACCTGGGATATTTTATCTTGCTCGGGTGGTTGTAGGATATTTCACACAGTCACTTCCCTGCTGTGGTTTATTTTTTGGAAATAAAATAAGCACAATACCAGAGAAGAGCTTTCATTGATGCCATGCTTCAAGGCAACAGCCATCAGGAAAAAACTCAGGCTTTGCGGTGTTGTCAGAGAAAAGAATCCCTTGTGGAGGGTCTGTTTGGGGTATAAGAGAGAAGTATTTTCCTTCTTGGGCTCTGGAGTTTTATGTAAATTGATTTCATATGAAAAATTACAGTACAATAGGAGTAACTAGCAAGGGATCTTTGGACCATGGGCAAGCACAGAAGGGGAGAGCCATTGCTCCAGCTTGACTGTCACTGCAGCTGGCCGGAGGTCAAAGAAGGTGAAGCCTTTTGCTTCCATCCAGGAGATGACCCAGGATGAGGGTTCCCTCACAGAATTTCCAGGACAGTGTTGCATTTGCTCTGCCCTGCTTTGCAGACCATTTTTCCTTCCATCTCTTTTCTGTGGCTTTGCCGGTTATTACCGCTTGTACTGAGAGTACACTTTGCATAATTTATCTCTTTCCTAATGAGGAGATGGAGTCCTGGCTGCAGCTAATGGCACTGAATTAGCTCACCTGCAGTCTGAGTACTGGATCTCATTTACCAAATCTGCTCTGAGTGTCTGGGAGCTCCTGCCAGCCTCTGAGGTACACACCTTGGTGATGGGGCTGGATGGTCAAGAGAGCGCCCAGGGGGGAAGAGTCTTTAGTCAGCTGAGACTAAGGTGTTTGAATTTTAAGTTGATTCTTCTGCTACAGTGAATGCCATACTCTTCTGAGTCTCCCTCGAGTGGAGTTACAAACAAACTACCCCCACGCAGGACCAGCAGACACAGAAAGAAAAGGTCTGCTTGAGCAGCAGATCTGGTGATCACTGTCCATGCATCCTTTCCATGTGCTCAAGCAGTGTGTTTCAGGCAGGTCAAGGAGGCCTGCACAATGCTAGAGCTTTGATCACTATTAGTGACTTGCAAATGTGTTTCTCCTACAGCAAGGAAAAAGAAGTTACACAAAAAAATAAAAATATTGAGAAAAGGTTGGGGTTTAGAACTTCACTAGAAAAAAGCAGAACTAAACAAACCCAAAAAAACCAATCTAAAAGACAACCAAATTTTTCCAGCAGCATTTCCACTGTAAGGCATCAAAACCTATGGATGATTGTAGGAATGTTTTAAAAGGTAGGAAATGAATCCATGTCAAACTTGGCAACCATCATTTTATTCAAGAAGTCAAACATTTCATGAATTTGGTAAAAGAGTACATTTGGTAAAAGAGTCATTTTCAGGGTGTTTAAAATGTAGCTCTTGGTTCTTGGATATGAGTTCCATCCTTATGCCCTGTCTGTGGGGCAAAGGATCGCAAATAGAATACAGATCCATGTTTATGCTGTACACATCAGTCAAAAATAAAATCAGTGGTATTCTGGTAGGGCTTTTTATGTAAGAACAAGTGTACAATCCTGTTGGGTCAAACTACAGATCCACAGATTAGCAGAATGTCTAACTGTGGCAAGAAGCACACAGTCAGGGAAAAGATACCAAAAAGAAGGTATCCTGACAGTGATGGCACTGATTCATTAAACTCCTGTATTTCAGGCAGTGCTGCCAAGCCTTGAAAGAGTGCTCATCATCGCACACAAAAATTAGCGAGGTTGACTAAACTTGTTCCACCAACAGCAGAGAGAAATTGACATCTCAGAAAGACAGGAGCTATCTTACCCTAAAACATGTAATCTTTCCTGGCCAAAATCATCTGATGCCTTAACTGAAATTTTGTCATAACCGAGCCAAAGTTTTTTCTCAGTGACATGCTTTAATACTATTTTCATGTTTTTACTCATTTTTCACTTCTGCACTCTAAGCAGGAACAATTCTTTCAGCTGTTTCCTGTGGACAGTGTTTTCTCAGCCTCTAACTCACCCTTCTCTGAATTCATTGATCAAACCACACATTTCTTTAAGGAGACTGCCAAACCTTGGTTCAGCTGGGGCTTTTTCAGTACAAAAGGACTGTAAAAGCTGTTCACCTCTTTTCTCCCATGGTCTAGTTACAGCCACTTGAGTTAGGAGGCATAGTGAACAGTGTTAATGCACTGTGCTTGAAGACTACATCAGTGCCGCTAGAGGATATTAAATATTTCATGGTTTGTTCTTGTTTCTTTTCTCATCATACTGCATGATTTCAGCTTCTTGTGCAGCCTCACAGAAGTTGCTTTAGATAATAATGACTGGCTAATGCAAAGCAGAAGAACTCTCGTGTCCTTCTTGTGGTCTTTTATGGCCTTAACTTTTTTGAATCTTCTGTTGTGTTTGCTTGTCTTTCTAATACATTTATTTGCATCCATGTGAGTGATGCATGTTAATGTAGATAACTACCTGTACAATTATCCTTATAGCAACCATTCCACATGTTTCTGTGATTGCATTTACGCATAAATCCACGTGTGTCTGGGTGAAAAATGTGAAAAACATCTGTAGAGGCAACACTTGGAAGCACCCAAGTGTTTTCCAGCCCAAGGATAGACTTGCTGGGTTTGGCAAGGCTGTTTCTGTCATGGGAGGGAAGGAATGGAACTGGGGACAGATCCTTGAAAAAAACTGATCTTCCTCTTTACCTCTGCAGTCCTGAATAGTGATGGATGCAGAACTAGTGTAACATTTTTACAGCACACCCAGCTTGTCCCTAGATGAAAGCAGGCTGAGGGGCAGAGCCATTTTGTTGCCCCTTAGTGATGTTCTTCGCTGGGCTAGTGACCAGGTTTCTGGCCAGATCCTTCCCTGCACACACCTGCAAGTGTTCAGATAGGAATTTCATCACACCATGTCAGTGAAAATATCCTCCAGGACAAACATGCTGGAGAACAGTAGTCCCAAAAGTAGCCTAAATACCAGGAAAATTGCCAGACCCTGCTGCATGCTAGACATATGCTGAAAGCATCTCTAGACCATGACGAGATCCATGAATTCCTGGGCTTATTTTTCTTCCAGCCTCCTGTTCATATTCATGAGTTCAGTGCTTTCAACATAGATTTTGTTCTATCTTCTGTTCTCCTTTCCAAGGAAAGAGAAACACAGGTGTTCTTAATTCACAGATTTATGTCTATTCTTTAATTAGATAGAAAATGTTGGAAAATGGAAACGATTTGTGGTTCTGGATAGTCTCACTGTTTGATTGGGATTTTTGGATTCCTTATCACCACTTCTACCCTGCTACTCTCCCCCTCCTCTCTGCCTTTTGGGAGCAAAATCTCTAAGTATGGAGACAAAAACTGTACTGGAAATCAGCAACTGGGCACTTGCTCTGTAAATTTCACATGCTGATGCATTTCTGTGTTAGACAAAAATAGCAACAAAACCAACGACAAGAACAACAAAAGAAAAAAACTGTTTCATGCAAATCACTTGCCACTGACTCTTTTCCAAAACAGAAACATTTAGTTTATAGTGCAGTGCAGCTGGCTGCTGGCCCCCTGTGGAGATTTCTGACCAAGGTACCATTTAGAAACAATTTGGCTGATCCATCTTATGTATTTTTGGCAGATCTTGTCCCTCATTTCTTCTTTACTAAGAAACTATGATAGATGAGTCTCAGTTACAGATGTCATCTGCTAGATTCTCCTAGAGGATTATTTAAAACCTGGACCACCTGTAGATGTCCTATTCATCCTTTGGACACCTGTCCCAAGATCAGACAGCCTGGGGTAATGCTATCTGTAAACTCCAGAGCACCTCCTCTGGAACTCTTCAGTATTACTTAAATCCATGTTCTGCAGAAATCAGTGGCAAACCTCTGCTTTGTGCCCAAACCCTGTGTATCCACAGGGTGATTCTCAAATTATGAAGATTCCCATTTCATGATTTGTTTGGTGATTAATCTAATCTTCATAAAGACTTTCTTCTATTTAAACTTGACTCTGAATTCCTAATTGGGGTCAGTATTAAGTCTCATTCAGGTTGCAATTCAGTCTCTTGGCAATTTGACTTATTTTCAAGAAGTGCCATTATTTTGTGAGATAACCACAGAAGGAGCCTGATACAACTAATTCAGGTGTTTTTCCTAATGAAAGCTGTGGTTAAATTCAAATGCTTAGGGAAACATAAGGGTGTGTGCAGCACTCTTCTTTTCCTCTTCAGCTGCCCATTGTTGCACTGTCTCTATCTGTTCCTTCATAATACACAGGTGAAAAAAGTGTTCATCTATTGTGACCTTCATGTAGTCACTTAATCTCAGTTACTAGAGTTCCTGTAACTTTCCATCCTTTCCTATCCATCATCTCTGCTTACATTGTGGAGTCTTTAGGCAGCTTAAGCTTCCTGGTAGCACTGAAATAATAAATCATAAATTATATTAAGGTCATCTCTCTTCTCCAATATTGTATTTAAACAAAACATATATGGTTTTTCATCTGCTTTTCAACCATTGTTATCTTACCCTTTACAGGCTAAAATGAGACCTCTTACTGGATTACATTCAATGCACACAAACTTTAGATGTCTGAAAGTAAGGTGCTAAGGTTAATCTGGTCATCTAAACCTTTCTATAGACAGTGGAGGAGAAGGACCATCACAAAATAAAGTTTTTCTTGTATATTATGAAACTATGACTAAGAACAAAAGAAATCTCTCTTCGGAGATATGTGCATCTCTTTATTTGCTCATGGAAGGAGTTGGAGTGATTAGGTTAAACTAAATACTAAATGTTAAAGTTCCAATTGACAGAGATTACATTAATCATATGCTAGATACACACCCTTCTTACTGTGTCTGTGTTTTTTCCAGTGTCCTGCTTTCATGTTTTCTGATTCAGACACATTTTTCTTATATTCTCTTTCCCATACAAGCACAGGGCAGCTGCTGTCGTAGTAGACCCTAAGACATAAAATGCAGCTCTAAAGATGTCATGTAAGGCTGAAAATGCCTGTGATTGTTCAATCATGAAAAACATTTCTTCTCATCCCAGGTTTACCATACATTTCAGTGTTGGTGACAGCCCAAAATTTATCTGTACTAACTTTCCCATTAAATGAAAACATCTCTATTTCCCCCTCAAAGATATTTTTGTTGATGTGTTTGAAACTTTGATATTACATTGATCTTTCTGAAGGTTGAAAAATTAGCACTGTTTTAACAAAGTCACTCTAAGGATATCTGCTATTTTTGTTTCATTTCACATATCATGTGTTGATTCTTGAAGGTGTAGTCTATGACATATAGTGACATGATTATGCAAAGATTGCCAAATATGTTTTGGACAAAGATTTGTTACCAAGAATCTTGAATAACCTTCCATGATAGACAATAAGATAAAATATTTCAAAGATTTTTTTTAAATAGTTAGATTTTAGAGGTGGCTGCATATGTTTTATACAGATAGAATTTTGCACATGGTTCTTTCTTTCAATGAAATCAAAAAGGAGAAATGCATTGTCCAAAACCTACTGACATTAAAGAGGAGCTCTCTGACTTGAAACCTACCTGCCTCAACAAGAATGAACTTAGACATGCTAATTTAACATTTTACTTTTCTGTTGTCTTTCTTTTCTTATCACGTGTGCTCTTTCTCATATTCTAGTTTTAAAAGTACAGCCTTATAAGATTTACAATGATGGGTCTTTTGTTTTTTCTTTTCCTGTTAACTTATTGTCTAACTCATGATAAATTTCAGACATAAAACGTGCCAAAGTCTACAAACCCAGTGGATCACCACATGGGATGAATAAAAAGCAGAGCTGCTATTTATCTGCCCTTGGAACTAATTAGTAACTGCAGCTCCTGGATCTCTTATACTCTTGATACTCAAGCATGAACAGAACCCAGTTACACTTCAGGATGTCTACTTATGTGTTAATTATTATTAATTTATCTATAAAATGCTTCTCTTTTCTCCACACTGTAGACCAAAATGATTTAGATGTTGCCAGGATCCTCCTAAGTTCCAGGTAGGAATATGGGAAGGGTTAACTGCATACCTATACAGGATACAGGCTGACTTCCCGCCCCTCAGCAGAGAAAACCATCTTTACCAGCTTAGCTTCAGCTGATCCTGCTTTGTACTGAAGGAAGCCGACCTTTGGAACTCCCTTCCAGCCCTGTTCTCACTGATTTCCTTCAGGGAAAAGAAAGCTATCCAAAGCAATTTAGGGTGGGGTCTCAGGAGAATGCAGTATATTTTCTGCAAAGGGCAAAGCAAGGAAGAACTCATTCTGCTAAAGTTATTCAATGCTATCCCCTGCCAACATTTACTTAATTATCTTTCTGTTCTATAATGGCAATTGAGTTACGGCTCTTTCCTGGAACTTCTATATCCTTCCCTAGTGAATGTGTTTGTGTGTGTATTTTAAAGAAGAAATTGAGTCCAATCAGTTCTGCTTTGCTCAAGGCAGAATTTATGATGGCCTTGTTAGAGAAAGAAGCCATGAGGCAGGAGAGGACAGTGCTGCTGCTATATTTTAGCTGCTAAATATGCGTCGTAAACTGAATGCTCTCCTCTCCATACTCTTCAAAATGTCTCAGGGATATTGTTGCCACTTGTCAGGATCGTGCACTGCCTAAATGTTCCGTCTCTCTGCACTTGCTCAGCCTTTCCAGATTACCTTAGTCCTTGTGAATTACATTCACCCAGACCTCAGGCACACAGGTTTGGTGTTTCAACTCCATTCCCTCACTGAAGAGTCAGTTTGATGTCCATATAAAAAGGAAGGGTGATTCTCTGCATAGCATGTCTTCCTGGTGAAGTGAAGGCGTCATTTTCTCTGCTATCCCCTTTCCCCTGTGTTTCTTAGGAGAAGATAGCAGGATGGGGATCTTCTCAGCTAATTGTAGTGCTAGTAAAAGAGAAGGTGCTCAGTCTAGGTTCCTATTCAAAGCTCTCTCTGTCATCAATAGGGAGACACAGGCACCTTTGTGAGCCGGTTGATGCCTCCTCTTGCAGCACAGAATGATTCACTGCATGGGGCACCTGACTCCCCACTGATGACACAGCAAGTGGAGATGCCTGGAACAAACCTGATTATCTGAATTTTGCTGGTTCAGTTTAAGTGAGCTGAATTCATCCCTCAGTTATGCACCTGACAAATGAGAATGGGCTGACTTCTCCTGAGATATTTGAAGGACATGTACAATCTGAGTTGTTGCTCAATTGGTATTTCAGTGAGACCATGGTAGATGCTAAGGATTTGTACATTTTCTTCTCCAGGAGCTTTTCCCAAGGTCTCCTAGTTAATATTAGGAGTTGCTATCAAAGTCAGTTTGCTCCTCACTTTCATAGCCTACACTTACATAATTACTAAAACACTGCTCCTGCAACAACTCTAAGAAAACCATCAGCCATCAGCTGAGTGTATGAGTAACAGCATAAAAGAACAAAATCTATAATCTCTTTCCTTGCAGGAGATTTTTGAAAATTAGGACACATGGGAACACTAAATTTCAAGTTTTAGAGTGTTCTTCCAGTGCTAATTTTTCAAGATGATTTTCATAAATTATTGTTAATGCTTGTCTGCAGCATGAGGAGACCCCAGGCTGGGATAAAGGTCTGCTGTGCTGCCCTTTACCAGAAGAGAATGCAGTCATGGCAACGTAATGCAAGTAAAGAAAGAAAAGATGAAATATTTTGCCAGTTACTGATCGTGTGATCAGGAAAAAAAAAAAAAAAAAAAGCCATTTAAAGAAACACTTGACAACATTCCCTCCAACTCCCTAGTAATGAATAGTTTCCAGCTCCCAAACAAGAAGAGACAGAGTGTAACTGAATATAGGCCCAAGGTGCCTTTGCACTAATCCTCATGTCCTAGGGTTATTTGGCTTTAGTTTTACTTAGTGTCAAGTTTTACTTCTATAAAGAGAAAAGAGAAAAAAAAAGAAAATAAAAAAGAAGCTGATGAATTTTCCTCTTCCTATGGAATGAAATGCCAGTACCTGTTGAGCTACATCTTCATCGCTGCCTTGGGGGTATTTGATTTCATGAATCTGATTAAATTATTCTGCTTTCAGTATTTCTTTAATATTGCTTTATAAAATATACTCCTAGTGGCTTCAGTAGTGAGAGCACTTGCTGTACTTTCTTTAAAGCTTGCACTGTCCCTCTTGAGACTGGGGGGAAGAGCCCTTATTAAAGAGTTCAGTCATAAAAGATTCTTCCTCTAGGAGAAGCACTTTGAAACAACTGAAACACACACACACTTTTTCACTATGATTACAGAGGCACCCATACTAATGCCTTTCAGTGTACTATATGGCCATCTCTGATTTCATTGGCCAGAATGAAACAACTTTCTGCAGAAATTTCAGAACATTGCCATCTGATCAGATCTCTAACTGACAGGAGACTACTTTTCCCCCCACTGGTGAATACCTGGAATTTTCTCTGTGGTGAAATGTTGCATTTTTATATCATGGGGTTTCTGAGGCTCTGACCTTTTGTAGGGAAAGGCCCTGCATGAACATTCAGTAAGGGATTGTTCCTGGTGGCAAGGACTGCATAGATCTCATGAGCAGCCTGGATTAAAATCAAAGTGGGTGGAAAAAGATGGAGAGAGGAGATTAAGTAAGGCCAAAGTGAGTGTCAAAGGTGAGTGGCAGAGTTGAGGGGAAAATCTCTTCCTCTCTCCCTCCTGCCCAGTACTGCTGTACTGTTACTATTTAAGGGTCCTGTTAAAATAGAAAATTAGCTGCCCTGTTGCTGTACCATGCACCTTGATCTGCTATCAGCTCTGGCCATGGGGCTAAGGACACTGGGTCTTCAAAATCACCTCAGAGTTTTAGAAGCAAAATTTCAAGGCAAGTCTTTGAAGCCAAAATGGAAGAACCCAGCCCTTTTCCTTTCTGTGCATTACCCAAACATGAAACATGAACATGAAAAGCATGAACAAAAAAATTATATAATGTGCTGTTAATAAAATATATACTGAAGTACTAAAAAGCTTGTGCAAACAGTAGGAAAAAGTCAAAAATACAGACTCTGTGGCTCCTGATTAGTCTCTATCCTTCTCAGTCTGATGACATAGAAATTTCTGTTCTTTATATCATTTGGATGCATGCAGTGTGAAGTACAGGGAAACACAGCCCTGTCTTCTACCTGGTTCTTAACTGGGAAATCATCCATCTTATTGCTGCTGATGAAAGCCCTTTATTGCTATTAACTGTCTGCAAATAACACCTAAATTGCATTGCTTCTCTGAGAGGCACTTATTATATACATGTATAAATGTATATAATAATTGTTAGGAGCAACTCACGCATCTACTGCTGGTTTGCAAGATAAATGACATTAATCAATAGGATGCCTACAGAACTTTTGGTGAGTCATTTGTTATGCTAATTGAACCACTTAAAGTAAACTGTCAATGAATAGAGATTTTTGACAGCTGAGATGAGACGTGGGGCTAATTAGTCAGTTGCTATTAAAAAAAAACCTGCCCAATTTTCATAATGTAATGTTTAAGAGAGAAGATAATGTTAATCATCTGACCAGACCTCTCTCCCAGAGGATAGAGTAGCAAAAGGCATAGCCCATCACAAAAATCAAGTTTCTCTCAGAAGCAAACAAAACAAATGGCTGGCTGCACAGAGATGACAACCTTTGCAAGAGAGCTGATGTGTCCCATAGGTTACAACAAACTTTTTAATTAATACACAAAAGCCCAACTTCTGCTCTAAATTACCTGTGTCCTTTTAGATCAATCCCCTTGTTTTCGCTCAAAGTATTTTGCATTCATGCTGGCAGCAATGAGATCATTGGGTCTGACTGTGAGGCTTAATCCTAACCTACAAATCAAATGGATTGATCAGATACACGCACTGTCGAGAAGGCATGAGCAGCATTTTGGCAGCCCTTTGGAGCTGGGTTGTAGGGGATGCAGCCACATGAAGCTGCGACTGAGATCACAGGATAAACTTCAGAATGTTGCACCTCTCTTCCTGTGATGGTTTACAGAGCTTGCAATCCATTGCTTTTCAGTGCTTCCACTTCCACTCTCAAAACTGCAGAGGCCACAGCAGCAGAAGGATTCGTAAAAGAAGCCTTTCAGTCTTAGAGCATAACATTAGAAACATTCTAATTCTAACAGACTTAGAATATACTTTGAAATAAATTACTGTTCCTTACATACCCAGCTTCTGTACAGCACAAATAGTTAATCGTGATTCCATTGAGGGCGTGCCAGAACCTTTGATGCCTAAAACAACAGGACTGGGACTTGCTGCTGTTAGTACATTCCACCCCTGGTGGCCACAGCTCTGTGGATGAACAGTGACTCTGGCACTGTAGCAAGTGTTGGTAGCAACCACCAGTCACCAAGTTCCCACTAAAACCCTCTCTTTTATGCTTGCCAGAAAGGTCCTTAAGACGATATACCTTTAATTGGAAATTTCCATTCTTAATGGCAACCAGCAAGACTGTGTGGAATCAGCTGTCTCCTGTGCTCAGGACAAGCACTTGAAGGAAAATAAGATTATCTCACCAGCCAGTCATCTAAAGTGTTGCTATTCAAATTTTCATTAATATAATAGGATAAAATGAAGGCAAATTCTTGAATATTTTGAGGAAAAAAAGCAAGTGTGAGCCAGAAACATTCATCTTGGTTTCCTTCTGGTTTTATAACTATTCTTGGAAATTACTGGACTTCACAAAGGGCATTTGGAAGAAAACTGATTTTCTGTAGTTTTAAATGTTCAGGCTTTTAATAAAGTTAAATTCATGGTATGGGTACCTGAAGTAAACACTTATCAGTAACAAAAAAAAAAAAATTTGAAAACTATTCAAAGATGCCTTTCTAAGTGTTAAGTAGCAAAAAACTAGTTAATGCATTACATAAAATGTCAATAGTACTGTAGAGTGGCCAGGTCCCTTTTTCTTAGTCTATTTGCATATAGCAAATAGACCTATGTCTCTATCATGATAGTGCCTATATTTCTATGTTCCATGGAAATATTGCAAAGCTAAAGTAATTTTTTCTGTGGGCTGGCTCTTTTCATTTTTCTGTCACTCTGGCGCTGCCCTTGAACACATTGACGCACAAAGTCATGTGTACACATGTTATTCAACAGACTTTGGCTAAGATACACTGAACTGCGTTTCCAGGAACATTAGAAACAACACCCGTCTTCAGCATCTACCCAGGCCAACCTGTAGTTCTGAGAAATGAGTATCACAAATGTCACAAATTAGGAACTGGTAGCTTCACAAGCCCAGAGTGTTGAGATGTTTTTTGCTGCTGCTTGTAGATGGAAGGTAGGGTGACACAGACTTCACCACAAGGGAATGTTCAGCTTTCTCCAAGGTAATTCAGCTTAAGCAAGCATGAAGCACAAGCCTCATCACCCAAACCTCCAGACCTACTTAATCTGACAGGTCTGAAACAGATCAAAGCCTACGAGCTCTTTCCTTTCTCTCTGCTTTCTGGTGTCCTGGCACTTAGTGTCTTGCCCTGTCGGGAGCACCGACTGAGTTGGAGTGGGTGATGTTCTGTAAATTGAAGGGTTAGTGAGGGCTGGGAAGTGTGAAGTGGACATGGCAAGTCTTTGGATTGAGTTAACAAACTGAACCATCCGTGAGGCAAGGGAAACAAACAAAAAAAATAAAAAATAGAAGTGATGGTTTCAGAAGCACTGAAGCCTTTGCCTGAAATTGAGAGCAGCTTGCCCTGTTCCCCCATGGTGCCAAAGAGATGGAAAACCACCCAGAGATGGGTCTCTGTCAGGCACTCAGACACAAGATCAAATCTGTCCTGGGTCCAGCTGATTTGCTGAGTGTAGCCTATGTTGTGGCTCACTTAGAGCTCAGGCACGGCCTTCAATTGCTTAGGACAGGTTTCTTGCCCAGAACCTAGCTGATTTCTTGAGGACCTTTCAAATCCAATTTTACATGATTCTGTGCAGGAAGATTTATCTCAGTCAGGGACTCTTCTATGTTCACCTTCTAAACAACAGAAGATACAAACCTTTCAGGGACTCCTCTGGCTATTTGTCTCTGGTTTTAGGAACATGCACTTTCAGCTTTCTACATCTGCATTGTCCTTTCCCAAATGAAAATGTCTGTATCTCCCTTTGGAAGAAGGAAGGAAAAACTTGTTTGTTTTAAGCTCTCATTACATCCTTGGTGTATGCTACAGTAGCTTCATGCTTTGTTGGCTATTAAGAAATTTGTTGGTTTAAAGAATACTCAAATTTCAGACTTTTCCTTTTCCATCTGAAGAAAAGAACACAAACATTTTAATGCAGGGTTTTGATTCAGAGAACTACTAATTTTTGTTTTAAAAAGAGGCTGATTTGGCTGAGTCTCGTTCACAACTGCAAACCCTGACCCCCGTCTACAGTTTGTTTCCTCGTTTTTCCACTAGTGCTTGGCAACTTTGAAAGAGATTCATGAATACTGTAGGTTGGGGAATAGGGAACCCAGGGCAGAAGGCATAGGTGTTCATGTGTGGAGAAGGAAATGAGATTTCCTTCACCTTTACTGAGTACAAGGATTTTAAAACCAAACATTGGAATCTATATGTGTTGAGAGGATCCTGCCTAAGAATATTCTTCTAGAAAACTCCAGATGCTTCTTTAGCTGAACTCCAAACTTATAATGTATGCATCAGAAATGAGGCTATGCCTTGAAATCTGGGTGGGCTTGAAATTTGAAGTAGCCTTAATCTCTTTAATGACCTCAAGCCTCCCAAATTTTTCTGAAAAAAACTGGGTGTGAAAAAAGATCCAACTTTACAGCCTTGACCTATTTCTAATCCTGTTCTGATTGCTATTTACTGGGCTCCTTTCCAAACATACTGTTTACTTTAGGGCTGATTTTTCTCCATCCAGATTAAAATTCCAGTGAGTTTCCCTCATTCCTTTAGACTGTAACCCCAAATGGGCCATGGTATTTTATTCAGAATACAGTAGCTGGATAATGATGCTCTCAGCAACTTGCAGAAACCAGGCAGTTTGTATATGAGGAGCTGGTATGCACACAGAAGCACACGGGAGCTCATGCATACAGCCCTGCAAATTGCCTCATGCACACACAGACACAGAGGAAAATGTGCTCCATGAACATGCCCACGGTTCCTTCTACGCCATGCACATATGGACTAAACAATTACACTCACCTATGAGCCTGTCACAAGGCAACAGAAATGCCAGCTGCCTTTGAAGTTTCCCGAAGAGCAGGAAAACGAGTCAACAGTGCTGGCCAACATCACATCATTAATCATCTATTAGCCGAGGTTGTGTGCTCCTGTCACCTGTCACTTTGTAATGCATGCAAATCACTCCAAGAGTAACATTTTCAGCCTGACATTTCCAGGGCCAGAGCTGGGATCAACCTGCTCTTTGTATTCAAGATTAAAAGGAAGTAGAGAAACAAGTGGTGAGATTGTTGGAAGGAGACAGGGAAAACGAGAGAAATAAGAAAGGTAATGAAAAATTGGTCATGAGAGATGAGTTTAAAAATAGAAAGCTAAAATAGTGAGGTTTTGCATATGACCAGGAAATACTCAGTTAAAAACATATCTCTGCTCCAGAGCTCTTAAAGAAAGTGAACCATAAAAATGACACTGTTTTTCTGATAAACTAAGTAGAAAGAGAAAATACTTTCAATATCTTTTTCTTTATTTGTAACTTACAAATTTGAAACCTGATCTAGCTTCAGAAATCTCTATCTGAACTGTTTGCTTATAAGTTCCCATTATGGTCAATGTATGAAATATTTTTTTCTTAATACAATTCCCCTACCTCTGTCTTAGATACGTATGTTAGGAAGAAATGAATTGCTGAAGTGCATGGAAATGTCCAATTCTCTCATCTGTCTAGCAAGGGAGTTGAAGGTGATTAGGTGAGATATGCACAGGTACAGGTTACTATGTTTACTGAGATGAATCTCATCCCTACTGGTTTTTAACTCAGTTTGATTTCTGATGATTCAGAAGGGACAGAAAATGTGATACCAAACCAACTTCCTCCATTATTTTTGTCATGATTCTTGAAAAAGTAGGATAATAAAAAACTCCTCATACCTTAGGTCTGACCTACCTGTAAATGCCACATTAAGTCTTGAATATCTTCATCATGCACTCTGTTGATTAACCAGGAACCTTTTCAGTAAATTAGTGTTGCATGACCAGCTTATCCAGAAAAAGCCACTCTTCTACTTACAAACTTCCCCTGCTATAGTGAAGACATCTTAAATTCTCTTTGGATATATTATACCTGAACAAATGTCAGTGCTACAACAGTCTCTGTTGTGCTGATCCACAACAGACTGTTAAGAGAAAAAGATGAGTTTGGGGTTAAATAAATCTCAGTGTTAAATAAATACCTGAGAAAAATCAGATGGAGGTATCTGGTAGTCTTGGTAGAGGTGTTCAGGTTTGTATCTCCAGATAAGCAGAAGTTCACACCTTCATATCTCTCTTTCCTAAGACACTCCTGTTAGCTTTCTGTCCAACTTCCTCCTTCCTCGTTATCATTTTTTTCCTTTCCACTATTTTAATTTCTTCCTTATTTGGCCCACTTTGGCAAAATACATCTGCCACTTCCCATGTTCATCCTTATGCAGATAAACATGCTACAGAAAATCATCCTCACATGGGTGAGCATCACTTCAGTGTCAGCAAAGAATACCCTCTGACTGAAAAAAAAAATAAGGGGTCACAGTCATCTCAGCTGTGGCTCCCCTCTGGCATGGTGGTACTCTCTGCCATGCCATATCTCACTGCCCCAGGAAGGCAGACACAGATTAATCCTGCATGGACTGGTGGGGAAGTAATACTGGAAAAAGCAGAATAATGCATCAGCAATCCTCACCAAGATTCAGTTACCTGTTTCCTGTCTTTGTCTTCTGAGGAAGCAGAGTACAGAAATTTTCTTCCTCATTTAAAGCCTACATTTTCTTTCCTTTGTCTACTGAGATAAATCAGCTTTATTCTTTAATTCCTTTGCTGGGTGTTAAAGGATATACCTTTCTGCAGGGACAGCCAGAACATGTCTCGCCTGTGGAGTCTAAATTAGGGTGCAACACTCCAAGGATGGAGGGGCAATATCCTCAGCTAGCCCACAGGATAGGTATTTGCAGGAGATTTTGAGGCTTATTTCTTTGGATAGATAAACTGCAGATCATGAAGGCAATTAATCATGGACTCATGGACAAGTACATCTGGAAGGGACCTCAAGAGGTCATCTCATCCATCCCCCAGCACGGAGGCAGGATAAATGTGCACAGACCATCCCTGACAGAT